TTTAACTCCATTTACCACAACTCTCTGGCCTCAGCCACCCAACCAGTTTTCTACCCAGTGAAGAGTATGCCCATCCAGGCCATGAGCTGCCAGCTTCCTTAGGAGAATTGCTGTGGGAGACGGTGTCAAAGGCTTTACTGAAGTCCAGGTAGTTGACATCCACAGCCTTTCCCTCATCCACCAGGCAGGTCACCAGGTCATAGAAAGCGATCAGGTTGGTCAAGCAGGACCTGCCTTTCATGAACCCATGCTGGCTGGGTCCGATCCCCTGGTTGCACATGCCTGTTGAGCGTACTCAACCGCTCCATAATCTTCCCTGGTGCTGAGGTCAGGCTGACAGGCCTGTAGTTCCCCGGATCCTCTTTCTGGCCCTTCTTGTAGATGGGCGTCACATTGGCAAGCCTCCAGTCATCTGGGACCTACTCTGTTAACCAGGGGTGCTGATAGATGACAGAAAGTGGCTTGGTAAACCCCTCCACCAGCTCCCTCAGTACTCTTGTACTGATGATGTTCATACTGATGATGTTTGTATCAGTGCCAGAGACGCACTAAAATGCTCCTTCATCAGATGTGAACCTGATCTTCTACATGTGATGAATGGAGAAAGCCACTCTGGCTTCAGCAGGGAGTCCCAGGAAGGGGGGAAGATCAGTCAGTGAAGAAGGGAAATTCCTACTATAAGGAAGGGAATAAAGGGCTCTGTGGGTATCCTCATGACCTCAACAAATCTTCAGGAAACACCAGTCTCACCCTACTCCTCTGTCCTCCTAGACCTGTCCTGAGAGCACCTCAGGAGGAGAGGAATCAGCCCTATGCCTTTCCCTAGCTCCCTTTCTCTTGTTCTCCTTCATCTTTTCCGTACATTTGCCACCTTCCCATCTCTCACTGACTATATCTCACATGGGGATGGAAGTGGGTGTGTGCCCACAGGTGTGTGTTCACCTCCATGACCAAGGTACCCAGAGGGGAAAATGCGAGCTCTGATGTTCACTTTCTCCACTCTCCCTTCTCTGCTAGGCAACCCCACAGGACCTTTAAGATAAACAAACACCTTTTCAACCTTGTGACAGGACATGTGTCCCAGGCTGTGGCATGGGGCATGGATTAAAGAGGAACTTGGAGAATAAAGCTTGAGAACCTGCCTGTGGGAGATTGGAACTTTCAGTGGATACCACTATGGCCAGGATGGAGACTGGCAATCTCAGAATTGGACTGGTTGATCAGGACACAATGGACACACCCTCTCCACTTTACTCCCAATGGTTATTGCCCACCATGGTGCGCCAGGTAGCTGAATTTACCGTCCTGCCCACCATCCCAAGGATGCTACAGCTATGGGAAGGTGTATGAATGGCTGTATGCACATGCAGCTGAGAAGGTGAGCGCTGCTTTTGTCTGGTATGGTAGCTAACAAAGTGCAGGGTCCCTGGGTCTCTAGGTCACAAGCAAGTTCTCCTTCAGGTGTGATTGCTCTTCATGGGTTTTCTTGGGGTAAGTCCCCTCCAGAGTTTGTAATAAGCCAAAGCCCTTCAAGCTTTGGAGGTACAGATGCCACTCTATTCTGTTCTGCCATGGCACCTCTCAGCGCATGTCATCATTACACAGCAATGATGAAGAATGAACATTGGCCAGATATGCAATACACCCGCCTGCAGTTGCTGCTGGATGCAGAAATACATGACTAAGTGATATACAGGTAACAAACTCACATTTGATTCAGAAATAAGTATATTTTAGGTGTTATGCAGATAGCATGCACACATATTTTCTTATCTGTTAGCACTACAGCAATACAATAACAGTAATAGAGAAGCTATCATATGGCAAAGATCTGCCATCAGCTCCAAGGATGCTGTGAGCTCAACACACCACCTTGTTCCCAGTTACAATTTCTGTCATAAGACAGCTGCTCCAAGACTTTCTGTGGTCATGGGAGTCCTCTTTGCTCCTCACAGTCTGTTGTTCAGGAAGGGCCAGAGCACACTGGCTACTATCCCTGCTGCCATCCCAGAGCTGTACCTCACACTGCCCGCTGCGTTAAAGTTGCAGAGGTCGCTGCTGCAGCAGGAGACATTTCTGTTGCCCACGCTGAAGTCCTGATAGAGTGGTTTGCATGATGAGTCACAGCCCTTGTTGATGATGTTGAAGAACCCTACAATCCCTGGAAGGAAAGCAGGACCATTACTACAAGGACTAAATGCAAGCCAAACCAAGCCTCATGGAACTGAATAATGAGATACTATTCTTATCTGAGCTCACTTCTTGGAAAAAAAATGAGTGTTTCCAAACAGCTGTATGTTTTACTGTAGCGGGTTTCATTTTTGGAGTGTCAGTTTGTCAGCGGCTTTATTTGCTTAAGGCAGTGTATTCCACAGCACAATTCTCAGGGGTTTCTAAACCAGCACCAACCACAGAAATTCTAATAATTTAATTAATAATGAAAGTAGCCATTAACACCTCTTTTGGGGAGTCTAAACTACTAATGGATGAGGAGCAAGCATGTGGGGTAATCTTTGCTCATATCCTATATATCTTTGTGGCACGGAGCCTTTCAACACCCAAGGAAGTTATGGAAACACGGCTATCCCCATTTCACAGATGACTGAGTTATTGTTTGATTGGTTTCTGAGAGGCACAGCCTATTTTTCTGTGGCCGGTTCATACTCAGTAACTGCTGGTTACCAGCAGATTACAGTCTGCATGAGATCTCCTGATCTTGCACAATTTATTCTGGGCACCAAGTCTCTGACATAGGCAAATGTAGTGGATACGGCCAGTGGGTTATACAATGTGTTGGCTCTCCTGCACGTGAATGCATGGCCATGGGTTTGCACATTTCCAACAAGGACAATGCCTACTGGAGGTATTACATTCACTGCCTGACAGAGATGAGTTAGAACATGCCACTGGTGAGTTTTGTGCCCCAGGTCTAAGAGCAACTGAGCTGTCACCACAGATCTGGACAGGGTAAACATTTTTTTTTTTTTTCCCCAGGTGTAGAATGGGAAAATTAAATCATAATCTGTTAAAGGAGTTTACACAGAGAGACACAGATGGCTGCATTCAGAGCTGGCTGTAGATGGGCCTAGGTGAAATTCTATCCTTTTCATTGAATTCACCTGAAGTCAGCTCTGTCATTGAATGCTCCTCCTAACTTCATGACTAGGTCTCACCGGACTCAGCCCCTCACATTTTAATCCATGTTCCAAACTTTTCAAAGTCATAAATGTTACTATTGCCCCTGTAAGCAGATCACTTTTGGTGTTATGAAAGAGAAATAAACCTAATTTTGTACAGGTGAGAGGCATTGGTAGGTATTTGCAATGTCAAGTGCTTAACAGCTAGTGCCCTGTTGGGCAGCTGCACATTCCTGAGGTTCGTTCCAGGCACTGGAACTGCACTGGCCATACTCCTCAATTTTTAGCATGATCTATTGGCAAACACTTTATTTATGGGGTACAGCATGCATGTACTAGCATGACTTTGTAATCACACTCTCATGGCCGGTGTTGGGAGAGGACTTGGTGATGGTCAGCGCCGCTACAAAGGGACCAGTTATCACCAAGGGATAAATATTTTTCTTCTGTCATTTCTACTTAACATGAAAGTAATCTGATAGTTTTTTTATATCCTTTTCTCCCTAGATGGCTTTTCTCTTCCTGCTGCACACTGAGCTCTGCTGGCCCACACCAGCTGGTGTATCTAGAATAGGTGGGGCTGGCTTGGACACCTGAGTCTGGGACCATGCTTGGCTCCAACACCACAACTAAGACACCCATTTCCCACCCCCCACTTTTCCTTACTGATCACATCTGTCTTGCACATTTCCTTTTCCTTGCAGTCCACCGTCATCTGACAGTTGGAGTTGCTGAGCTGTGATGTGCAGCTGTAACACTGCAAAGAAGAACCTACAAGAGACCAGGAGGGGTTATCAGACAAATCCATCTGAAGCTCTCCAGGGAATCCAACATAGAGCTTGAACTGGGAAACAGGACTATTTCCGTGGGTCCTCAGAGAAAGATAACACCTCTGCTATTGGGAAAACAGTAAGAGTCAAGTTTTGCAAGTGCTGAAGCTGTTTCAGATCTAGTCCGTACATTGAGGGAGCAAAAAGAGACCAGCTGGATAGTTGGTCCCATTGACTGGTCTCATCAGTCAATGGGAAGTGCTTCCCAAATGCTTCTTCCTCTGCATTTGGGATGCCTAACTCAGTTCCTGTCTGGAACAGGCTTTTTGTGATATTCCCACCTCCCGAGCTGGGATGAAGTCCCCAGAAGGACAGGTTGATATTATTTTTCTGCCTCTATAGACATGGTGTTTTACCAGGTGGGTTTGTGAACCTTAGCTGAGGTATTGCCAGAGCTGGGTGAGCGAGGGAAAACCCAGAAGGAACAGAGGGTGAGGGAGGGATGGAGCAGGCAATTTGCAAGGTCTCTTCCCGCCCGTTTTCTCAGTTTGACCAACTTGTGACATGTACTCTCCATCGCTCCCTCTTAGAAAGCAAAGTGCAAACATGTCTTTCACCTCCCTCTGAAAACCAGGGCACCACATGTTTCCACCCCTTCATGGACATGCTATGGGGGACGCAAGTCAATATTATTAACATCTGCTGTGCTGTTATGTGCATCGAGCAAAGGCAGAATAAACATTGCAGCTTACAAGTGTCTAGCCCTGATGAAAGATAATCCCCAGAGGAGTGAGAGCGTGGTGTAATTACCTGTTCCTATTACCTACCCATGCCCCAGGGCATCACTGGAGCCTTACAAGTGTGAGAGTTAATGTGTATATATATGTACTTCAACTTCATGACCACCAGGCTTATATCATGAATCGCTCAAGTCAATACCCTAATGCCTAAAATACTCTTTTAGGACACAGAAAAGCCCTATTTAGAAAAGGGTGTTATTCAGAGCAGGAACAAGAAGTGGTCTGAGCCACTTGATCTCCTTCTGTCCAAGCCGTTCTGGCATAAATGACTGATGCAGTCATAGAGGCAAGGAGCCAAACCCCAGTTTGCCTGTTGTGCTGCACTCTGCTCTCACATTTATCTGACTTTTAATGCAATGAAAGTCAAATTTCAGAGCGCTCTGGTAGAAGCTGGCAGAGGAGAAGGTCTGGCCAGGACTGTACAAGACCTTCCTCAGCCTATTCCTGAAGCATCCTCTGCTGATTGAGAGTCATTTCGGCTCTGAGCTGCTTCTTCTGTTCTCTAGTAATAGGAAAAAGCTGGTTTAAATCCATTTTTTACAGTGAGGCCAGAAGAACCTGACAGAGCCCAAACCCCTCCCATCCAGTTCATAAAATAACGCACCATGGCATTCTCCCTTTTTCTGTCCTATTAAAATTCTGACAATCTGTGCAGCATCAGGGGCGACTTTTGAAATGAAGAGTCAGAAAACAAGTTGGAAGAAAACTTATCTTTGCAGAAATGTTGCAATTTTGATAGCCTGGGAAGAAGAAAAACAACCCTCCCACCCCACTTAAAAAAACCCACATACACACATAGCTGCATGGTCTGGCTTAAATAATTTTGATTTCAATTAAATTCAGTTTTGTATAGGATTTATCTTTCCTGGAAGCTGCTCTACCCAGCACTAGGATCACACCATCAGCAGGGTGGGACTATGCATTTTTTCCATGCAACACCCAGGACATCTGATCAAAAAGCAAATGTCTTCATTTGACAACTTCATCAATATTTCTTCCCTCCCTGCCAAACCCCATGACAAGTCTTTTCTCCTAGCTGAAGGTCTGCTGGAGGCGATGTGGGGTAGACCCCATACGCTGTCTTACCTGAGTCCAAGCACAGGAGTGCTCCCAGCAGGAGGACAAGGAAACCCTTCATTTTGGGATAGCCTCTCTCGTGCTGAATACGGGTTGTTTCCTCGTGGAATAGTTTATATACCATGCGAGGCAACAATCAGGCATGCCCAGAAGGTTACCCTCTGAAGGCACCTGAACGAGGCTGCTCGTTGGACCAAGGGAGGGGTTGGCTTGCGGTGGTGATATTTGCGTTAGGTGCCTCTCCTATTTGTCTCCAACTCTCAGAGCTGCCAGCAGATCTTCTTCACCACTGCACCCCCGCCTTTCCTCCCACCCTGGGGTAAAGTGTTTACACAAGTGGAAAAAAATCCAAATTCTTTAGAACAAGGCTGGCCTTATGCATTTCCCCAGAGCCAGAGAAGCTGTGGTTGCACCCTGTGAACAAGGCACTCCACCCCCATTGCTGTCCTGAGTGGAGTTATTGTGTTCAAATCAAGGACAAAATGTTCTTTTAATAAACACCTCCAGCTATTTATCTGCATGTGTGAGTGTCTCCGTGACACTCGTGGCATGTGGTAGCAAGGTATGTGGGCAAACTACAGTGCGTTGGTCTCTTCCAGCTGTCCAGGTGCCCATTTGCCCTTATTTCTATGTATTGTCTTGTGCTGGTTTTGGCTGGGATAGAGTTAATTTTCTTCGGAGCAGCTAGCATGGGACTATGTTTTGGATTTGTGCTGAAAACAATGTTGATAATACAGGGATATTTTTGTTATTGCTGAGCAGTGCTTACACAGAGTCAAGGCCTTTTCTGCTTCTCACCCCACCTCATCAGCGAGTAGGCCTTTCTGCTAAATTCAGTTTGCCATGGTTTCTCACTTTATTTAGGGTTTTTCTTAAATCTCAGGAACTTAGCGCTTTGCAGTAATAGCCTGCAGGGACTTGGCTCTCATGCAGTTTAGCTCTTAGGACTCCAGGCACTTTTTCAAACTGAAAGGAAGGTATGGTGGTGTGTTGGTGGATCATTGCTCTTGATCAGTGGCTGTGGGGTAAGTGATAAAAGGTTAGCTGGACTGAGTCTGCTGAAGTTAATGACACTGCCCTGATTTACAGCAGTGGAGAATCTGGTGCAGGGGATGATTTTGCAAATCCTGTTTCCTCTGTGGGGATCTTAAGTGCTTCCCCTTGGACTCTTGAACTTCTGTTTAAAAAGAAAAAAAAAAAACCCAACAAACAACACAACATCTTTCTGTGACTGTTGACATTTGCTTCATCATATTTTTGCAAACTCTTGTCTCATTTATAGCCAACTTTTATAGAACAGCTGCATAGAAAAGTGGCAATATGTTTTCAGACTCTGGTGTTCTTTATTCAGAGATATTTAAGGCTATTTTTCTTTCTCAGTCCCTTATGATTGTTCCTGTAGGGTTTGGTTCCTTGTGTTAGGGAAGAATAGGGCCATGGGGAAAGCATAACCTGGTCTCCCCATCAAATCCACCCAGGCCTTGAATTAAATATTTCTTCCTTCAAGCAACTCATGGCTAAGCAAGAAGGAGTGCTCTTTTCCTCCTCAGCAGCCTGACTAGCAGCCAGTCAAACTCTCCTGTACTATTATTTCTTTTTATTCCTTTTCTAACAGCAACAGGCCTGCCAGTGAAGACCAGGACTTACAGTGCTGTGAAAGAGACGCACACAGCTAAGAGCCTGTCCATGTCCCAGTCCTGCTTGGCTGCAGCCTGAGGCTGTGTAAGAACCCAGTAATTCCTATATCCTTACATCAACTGTTGCTTCTCACTGTTTTTTGAACATTTGTGTGCAGTTCCTGCTCGACTCCTGAAGATGGCAAACATGCCCCATTATAATTATTACACATACATTAACATGCAGTTGTCCATAGGATTGTGTATGCATTGTATTTTTTATTTGCCTGGCGTTATAAAATCCCCAGTTCATCTAACTGCATGAAAAAAGACCATCTATTTCCCCTGGGAATCTAAGGATGTCTACAAATCACTTGGGTTTAGGGTTTTTTTTAATACTATTTTGTGTTGTCACTGCAGATTCCTGATAGATCCAGGTCTGGAGCTTTCAGTTGAGGAGGGAGGGAAAGA